CAAATGACTGGCCCTAATTTGTTCTGTACCACTTAACGGATCAACTGCCTGTACTCGTTGTTCTACTTTCTCGCCATAACCTTTAATAGTATTAGGATCAACGCCAGGAGGAAGTTCCCAAGTACTTTCTTTAGTAGCACGGTTATAATAATAAACCATCTTGCGGGAACGGGAAATTCGGCATTCCCATTCAGAGTTGCTGTTTTGAGGCTCAGTCTAAATAAATAAAACAAAAACTATATAGTCAGAATCCTTATTGCGTTAAAATCTTGAATATCTGTTTGGAGTGGTTCACAACTTTTGAAGGTCAGAAAGTTCACCATGATTTTTAATTTTCAAAGTTCTGGTAGTAAATTGAACGTAAATATAAGAATTACAATATCGATATATCTAGTTAATTAAAAATTTATTTCATTAAATTTGACACGACCACGTCTATTTTTGGTTAACTGGTTTACTACGATTTAACTTTATATACACATAACGATACTAGTCGTGACCTGTGCTACGTAGTAATTGTCACGTTTCGCCTAAACCTTAATTCCCAATACGCAATGTTTCTTAAAGTTGTTGCTAGGGTTTTTACGAATCAAACAGTATAAAGAATGCAAAAAACGATACGTATTTCCTATAAAATTCCACACTCTTGAATGCGTGTGATTATTACTTCGTTTAATTCTTTTCAAGTTTGCAAATTCATGGCTTAAAAATGATAATGAATAAAACAGTTTATAGTAATAAATTACATGGATTATAAGTAAATTTATACAAATTGAGACAACAAATAAGTAAATTCTATTTTTTACTTTAGTCTTTTACTAAATCGCACCTATGGTGTTTTATACCTATAGGGTGACTGGCATGGGTAAAAATTTGGAATGCCACGTGGCATGCCATTCGCTAAAATTTGAGCCTGGCATGCTACCCGGTCATGCCAAGAGCTGGATTATGTCATACAAAAAATCATTTTTTAAAAAACTAGTATCGATAATATTCAAAATTTACAAAGAATAAAATCCAGAAGTAAAATTAAAAATATACAGTGCACAATTTTTCTGAAAGCTCGTACATGTGGATTGAATAAAGCTCAAAGAAATTTATTAAAACTTGCAAATAAATTGTGGTTTTAGTTACAATAATTGATACAAAACTTTTTCAAAATTTTTTTGTTTTTTTTTTTTAACAAAATATTTCTTGATTTCTTCAAAGTTATCTATTTCTGTAGATTTTAGTAACAAATAATGTCTTTGGTTGACAAAAACTAGTTTTTTTTTTTTTTTAATATTTAAGATAATCTTATGGTTAGCAGCTTTTATTGGTATGTGTTTGTTAAACTTTATTACAAAGTTGTTACTTATCTTTTGGCATATAATTTTGGAGAGTATTTACTAGTCACATATATAACTTTTGTTTGTTTATTTTAAGTAGTTCACCTGAAGGTTCTACACTAGATGCTATATCTATAATCTAACTAGATGATTATCTATTTAAATCTTTTGTATTATCTTGTCTTATGTGAGGTAATCAACTTTTATAAGATTGCAAACTGATCTAGAATTATTATTCTCAAGATAAATTTACCAAAATTATTTTTTGCTCATTCTTGAACTAGTTTGGTTTTAGATAACTTGTGTTTTGTCTATAATAATTACTATACAAATAGAGTTATTTTTAAATTGTTATTATTATTCTGCTCTTGTAGAGTTTATCCAAACTTTAGCACATACTTTATAGTTATTTTTATTTTTTTTTAATTCAGTGGTCCTGCCTATTACTCTTTATTGGGAGGTACCAGAACTTTTTTTTTTTGGTTTTAAGGTGAGGCCTTGCTCGTATCTTTATTAGTAATTCAAAAATAGTTACAACATAGATTGCTATAGTGCAATTACTAAAGTAATTGACAAATATAAAAATTTACAAAGCTACTACTATTTGTACCAGTACAAATAAAAATAAGAATTACATGCAAGAATAAAAGCTCAGACAG